GTATCCCGCTGCAATGACTGCTGTATCCCCGCCTGCAATGATTGTTGTATCCCCGCCTGCAATGATTGCTGTAGCCCCGCCTGCAATGATTGCTGTACCCATGTTTCCCACGGCCACGTTTGTAATGACTGCTGTGGCGACGCTTGAAAAGGTTGCTGTAGCCTTGCCTGGAATGATTGCTGTAGCCATGATTCCCATGGCCACGTTTGTAATGACTGCTCTGGTGTCGCCTGAAATGATTGCTGCGGTCTCCTCTTCGATGATTGCTGTGACTTCGGCTGAAGTGGTTGTCGTGGCCTCCTCTGTGATGATTGCTGTGACCTCGGCTGAAATGACTGCTGTGGTCTTTTCCGTGATGATTGCCGTGACTTCTGCCGAACTGCTTGCTCTATCCACTCCTGCAAAGGTTCCGGTTCTCTCTCCTGAGAGGGATCAAGTGTCATTGCCTCAAGGTCCTTGTCGATTTCTGAAAAAAAAAACTGTTTCATTTCAGTTGCTTCACTTCGAACTAAAAACCTTAAATTAAAATTGGATTAAATTTTAAAATTTTTTATGGAAAGTAGAAAAACAGGAGGTAGGCTTGTAGTTATCATGGAAAGTTATGTTGAAATTAAAGTTTCAAGTGAATGGGTTAGATTGCTCGGTCAGTGAAATCATATACAAAGGACAAAATAATAAGTTCGATAATTCGAATTAAAAAAAATTTCTTGAATTGAAGTAATTCTCAAATTTGTTTATCAAAATTCAAAAAAAGTGGATTAAATATGTCTTTGACGTTTAAGAATTTACTATCAACTGTTGACAAACAATGAAAAACCACTGTCACAAATAGATTAATTTTCCAATAAATATTTGACGCTACGACTTTTCTTAAAAAAAAAAGAAAAAAAGGAGAAAGAAAAGTATCGAGCGAGTAGAAAAGTCCTCAAAAAGTCTATTTGTCTTTATGTTAACCATATTTCAAACAGTTTAGAAATTAAAATTGAACTAAAAAATTAAAATATCGAAAGAAAAATTAAAATTATACCAAAACACCAAACAAAATGAACCTGGTGGAAGTGGCGTGTCAACAAATAAAGGCTCACGTCGCAGTAACAATTCACTTAAGGTTATTTCACGTTTTAACTCATAGTTAACATCCTGGAAGAAAAATGGAATTAATTTGTATTTCATTAATTAACTTCCAGCATGTACCGGCGTTAATTAAGCCAGCCTTAATTAAGATGGTTTTTGAAAGTATTCAACTTTCTCTTGCTTTACATTTTTGTGATTCCAATATCTCTTGCTACTGTTAATTTAATTAACGAAAGATGATTGGCAACTTTCATCCTTAATATTATTTGAAAACTTTTCCCCGAACTCTTCATCTGCTACGTTTTTTTGTCTTTCCAAGTATATTCAAATATGCTAATTACCTCATCACTTTCTATAAATTTCTTTGGCTGCAGCATTTTTCTTCGATGTGGCACTGATTGAACTGTCGGCTGAAATATTGCTAAACATTGCTTGAGAAAGAAAAAAAGAAAAGGAGTATTAAATTTGATAAAACTGTTGAAACTTTTTTTCATATTACTGCAATGCTTTATGAATGATTTAATAAATTAAAATATTTATTTTTTAATTAGTTTGTTGACAAAAGTTTCAACGTTTTATCATATCTTTTTTCACTGCTCAAATTAATTATGTCCTACTTCTAATAGAGTTTTCAATTAATTATGTCCTACTTCTAATAGAGTTTTCAATTAATTATGTCCTACTTCTAATAGAGTTTTCAATTAATTATGTCCTACTTCTAATAGAGTTTTCAACAAGTACAATAATAAACAAAATACTGCAAATATGCAAATATTGATCTGGTATCAGTTTGATATTTCATAATATTAAGCATCAGACACTTTTATAGTAGCAATTTAATACTTCTGACAGTCTGTGATTATTCATCAGTAATGTTTGTTACTTATATATCAATTCCTAAAATTTAATGAATTTGAAAAAAAAACTGTTCAAATCTTTTTGTTTGATTGAATCGCTGATTCAAATAGCATACCTTAGAAATTCCTGATGGTCCAGGTTGTGGTTCAACATCTTCCAACGAATCACCACCATTATCATCATCCGTCTTTTGCACTTTCTCAGATGTTGTACTAGGAGAACTCGATTCTGGAATTTGTCGCTTGCAAGGTTTGTCTGGTGTCAACTTCTTTGACATAATTCGATTGTTCTCTCAATAGATTTTTTTAGGATATATATAGAAGCGAAAAAGGTATGTAAATGGAATAATACAATAAATTTGACATATCCTCATATCAATTATTTTCAATCAGAGCTAAAAAAAAAATAAAAATTTAGCAATTTAATTATCAAATAAAATTTCGAAACAAAAGGTAAACTTTCGAAACACTAATTAATCATTCTTCCAATTCTCAAACCAATAAAACTATTCTGCCATATTACTGCAAAACATTTTGAAAGTTTGTTATGGCGGTGATGGATAATTCCAATAGAATAGGAGGAAGATCTATCCTTGCTATGATCGTCCAATAAATTTGCATACACAGTTTTATTCCACCTTGAAACCCAGAAATAGTAAAGATATATATATACATATATATGCAAGTTTGGAGATCATATGCTGGACATTGATATTGTTGGATAATGTTAATGAGATTTAATGAGAGTAAATGAAGCTTAAATGGGATATTAGCGTTTCTTCCTTTATTGATCTCTCATATTTTCCATCTTTTTTTGTCTACTATAAACAGTATTTTTATGGGTTACGGTATTTCCTACAGAATTCTTTTTACCAATTCAGTTGCTTGTTGCAAAATATTTTCTCTTAACTTTTGCAAAGTTCACAAAAATGACATACCTGACTGAATTTCATTTACAGATAGCAATTGCTTTTGTATGATTCTATGAGAGAGAACATGTAACCGATCGGGATTTACAGAATTGCTGAAATTTCTGCAGATATCATTACCCTAAAGTTTTGGTGCTTTGAAGTCCTAAATGATAGCACAAGGAATTTTCTCAGCATTCAATTTCAATTTCTTATAAGTTTAATTTCCGATTATTTATTTAAGGTCTCCGATTATTTATTTTCGATTGTTCATTCAATTTTTCATTTAATTTACGATTATATATTCAATTTCCGATCATTTATTTAAAGTACCCGGTTATTTATCTTGACTATTTCTTTAATTTTTTATTTAATATTCCGGTCATGTATTTAATTTCCGATTATTTGTTTAAAGTTTCCGATTACTTATTTTCGATTATTTATTTAATTTCTTTAAAATTTCCGATTATGCGTTCAATTTCCGATTATTTGTTTTATTTATTTCCGACTATTTATTTAAAGTTGCTGGTTTTTTTGCTACTACAGTTTTTCATTTGCTTACAATTTTGAATTATCATTTTAGGATTGTATTCAAAATGGAATGAGAAATTTTATGGGATTGTTGTAAGCCGTCGAAGAAACTGGAATATGATCTACTTTATCGGAAAAGAAAATGCAAATAAAACATACAGATGTGACGGGGAGAGGTGATTAATATACTTTATTTTGAGGATAGGTAATTAATATTTTTTATTTCCTGAAATGCTTATTTCAGGTTTTATCTTGTTTTTATTGTTTCTTTTAATTCTTTAAAATATCACATGTATTTAGTGCCGAAAAACCGAAATAGTTGTATCATGGAATTATTCATTCAAATAGTTTGCATTTACATTTACATTTTTTTTTCCCTCTCATACTCAAAATCATAAGTCAGCTATCAAATCTTTAAATCGTCTAAATGAGCTTTATCTGATGTTGAGATTTGCGCACATCTGGATGACAACAAAGCTTATGCACAATAATGGATATACTATTTTAGAGATATCTCATAAACATGTTTTTTTATCCAATGGTATTTCATTTCTAGATTTCTGTTAAGCATCGCATTTCTTTTCTTTATCTGACCGAAATGCAAACAAAGGATATTTTGATTGAAGCCACATGTTTTTATGTAGATTTTTCTGGCAGCTGTGAGAATATCGTCAATTTATGACTGACTACTTCCCTTCATCCATTCCTTATATAAATATATGAAATCCTAACATTCATTCATTATTAAAATCCATCAATGGGCAATCAGCTTCAGATAACTCAGTTCTTCATTTATTTTTTCCCAGTTCATTAATTACTTCTTACAAATTTCTCCCATTATTCTACTTTATATTAATTTGGACATCATTTTATTGAAATTGGAATTAATTTGAACTCATTTCTATTATATTTGATACCCAAACGATAATAAAGGATAAACTGCTGTACTTCTCGAATTTTGTAAATCCTTCAAAACTTAACTCTCTCTTCAACAACTCAAAACAATCTCCTTTACTTCCTTAATTCTTTTTCCTTTTTTTTTTTTCACGACATTTAGTACTTCATATGAAAACTGAACATATGTTGCTAAATTTAGCATGTTCACAATGACTACTACTATTGCCTACTTGAAACACTTTTGTGTTATCGAAGCCAATTTCATGTGGTACTCATTTATGGATTCCAACTACAGTATCCTGGAATATTTAGATGGTTCGAGATTCACGAAGAATAAATGAATATGTGTGAAACATTCACTTTCAATTTTGAATGAAACGAATTAATTTAAAGGACTACATTTCAATAAACTTCAATGAGTTTTGTTATCATCTTACAAGTAATTTAACTAATCGAAATTATCGATCTAAATTTATTGTTAAATTTAAAACTAATCGTTGCAATTTGTCCGATTAATTTAACGTAGTTTAAAAGGCGTAAAAATTATTCTTTCAGAGTTCTGAATTATGAAAGATTTGAAATTTTTTGAAGGAAAAACTGTCTCTATTAATATGTGAGATGATGATAAGCTATTTATGTATGAGTATGAATTTGAATTGGTTAATATTATAATTCAGTTAAAATTTTCATATCTTCAAGGTATTTTATCACAATTTTTCATCATTAATCGGAAGATGACAAAGATCAACCAATGATTAGTTGCTTTCAGTAGGTTTTTTATTTCTTTTTTTTTTTTTTATTCAAGAATAGAGAGGGAAATAAAAAAATGAAAGAGGAAGAAAAAAGAAAGGAAAAAGAGGAGAGAGAGAAAAGGAAGAATTCAAAATTTATCGAATGTTGGCTACCTTAGTTTATTTCAGGAAGGCATATAAGTTTTGGAGGTGTGAAAATGAAAGCTAGTTTTTGCAAAAATGATTTTCAGCCTGAAAAAATACAATGAAGATCGAGAAGATCGAAGTGTCAACTTTATTAGGCTAAATAATGGACTATATCATTTAACTGATAAGGTATATTGTTCCCGGCGTTTTTTCTTTTTGATTTTTATGTTTTATTACCTTCAAAATTTATGTACGACTTTCGCAATGATTACTTATTTTGTCGGTTTTTGATTGCTTTTCTTTCATTTCAGTTTAAACTGTCGATTCATTAATTAGTATATTGTAGTTCTTCGATTTTTTTTCCGGTTTTTTTTACACCTAATAAACTTATAACTTATACCATACTTGTACCATACTTATACCATACTTTCATAGTTGTGACTTATACCATACTGTATTGACAACAACTTGTCACTTATCTATTCGTTGATATCATTAAATTCCCGACTTGAGTAATTTAACTCTTAACATTTTCCACTTTTCTAATGCTCACTTTTGCTTTGTTATTTTTTAAATTTTCATTCCCTGCATTATCTCATTTTTTTAAAAAGATAATACATTTTGTTTTAAATATTAAAATCATTTAAATTTTGAGGAATACTTTGGTTTAAATAAAATCAATCACAACCGTTCCACAATCTATTTCCATTCTCTCATAGCGATCAATCTACTCTCTACTACAAATCGTTCCTTAATTTCTCAACTGTTGATCATATAGGAAAAATTGAAAATAAGAGTTTGATTTGGAAGGGTTGATTTTTTAGGCACAGACGAATATTCTGAGAAGGTTCGGTTTTTAGGAGGAAGTTATTTATTCGCAGAAGATAGTAGATTGTAATAACACAAAGGATAGTAATAAAAATATTTATCGAAAAAAGTAGAGGATAGAATGACGCATACAACATGTGATGCAATTATTGGTTGAGTGGTATCCTTGACAAGGAAAATTTACAACAAACAACATTACATTAGATTTTCTTTTTGATAAAGAAAAACTATCAAAATTCGATCACAACAGAGGGCTGTTTTAAAACATTAAGCATCGCAATTAGCATTGATTATTAAGCAGAGAAACCTAGCATTCAAAGGATGTGAAATTGAATAAAGACAGCAAAGAAAAACGCATTTGAGGAGTATAAAATTAGTTAAATGATTCATGACATCATTACAATTTCTCTTTGCTAATGCTAAAAACAATTTTTGTAATTAAAATTTATCAACAACTGTAATTATGTACACGAAATGCTGAACCATGAAAAATTGATTGAGATGCAGACCATAGGAAGAAAAAGATTAATTAAAGAAAATAATAATAACAAGGGGAATCATACAATATATTAAAAAAAAAAAAAAAAAAAACTTTGTCAAAAGTTTTGACAAGTAAAACTAAAAATTGAATGTATAAAAAACAAACTACACTTAAATAACTACAACAATGTGTAAATAAATTACACTTAAAGAACCACGTCCAGGAACAATTAGGAGTTGTAACTACACACCATTTCCATCTGTGAAAAATTAATTTATTAAAAACTGAAATTTAATAGAAATTTTGATATTTTGAAATTGGCAGCCTGTTTAGTTTTTTTTTTTTGTTTTGTTTTTTTTGTTTTTTTTTTTTTAGGTCTTTATTTAGTTTTTTTTGTTTTTTTTTTAGGTCTTTATTTAGTTTTTTTTGTTTTTTTTTGTTTTTTTTTTTAGGGGGGAGGAAATACTACAATTTATTGTATTTTAATTAATGCCTTTGCTTTGTTTTGTTTTTTTTTTTATTTTATCATCTATTTCGTTTAGTTTTAATGTCATGTTTTGCTAATTTTATATTACATCTATTTAGCTTAGTTTCATCTATTTTCATATCATACATATTTAGCCAATTTTGAAAAGACATTTTTTTTTTTTTGCAGGTTTTCATTATTTTCAATTATTTCGTTTTAATTTGCTATTGTAAAAGTTAATTAGGAAAAGGAACATAATTAAATTTGATACAATAAATAAACTGCGAAAAAAAAAAAAAAGTCAAAATCATGAAAAGAAAATACACACAGTGCATACAACACAAGCTTCCGCTAACCGCTAATATGGGCAACACAAATCTTTGCGCTAATCACCAATAAGCGCAATGAATAAAAACACTTCATCAAAATCACGATCAACAAACTTCACCGTTAATCAATTACCAAAATGACATGAAAGAATAGTTTACCCTTATTAACATAATAATGTAAATAGTAATAGTAATATAAATAATATAAATAGTAATATAATAATATGTTAATTGTATTAAATTAAAAATTCAATTAAATACAGTTATTAAAATGTTGAAATATTTTTGAAAAAGTTACAAAATACGGTAAAATATGAAAAGAATTGATAAATTTATAAATGGAAGAAAACAAGGATAAAGAAAAGAAATATGTAAATTAATTCTTTCTTAAATACAACTGGGTCAAATGTTATTTTAACTAATTATTACATGTTGAGAAAGGGAAAAAATAAATTATTAAATAGATGAAATTCCGGAAATTGATTAAACATAAATGTGAAAGAATCGGATTATGGAAGATATGATGTATTCATTGATTACAGGTGAAAAGCATTCCCGTAGATGGAATACTATTCAATATTCGTTCCAAATAAAAAGTAGTGTGACTATCAAATCTATCAGTAAGTTTTTACAGAGACGTCCAGATTTGCCAGTTTCTTTCCTCACTTCTAAGGAAGAAGACATTGGCAAATCCGGATGTTTCTGTAATAACTTACTGATAAATTGGCCAGACTATTTTTAATTTTGATCGAATACTGAAGAGAAGCCGTGCAAGAAATTCCTGAAATAAGTCAAACTTATGCATAAATAATAAGCAAGATTTTTATTTCTTTTTCCTTTTTTTTTTTTTTTTGTTCTGAAAAAATCAGACCTTTTAACAACTAAAATCTTTCCGTTATAAAACTTGAAAAAGAAAAGTGAGGTGGAAGAATGAAACTGTATCTAAAAATAATCACCTAAAAATTGTAAAACTTACGAACATTGATAGAGCAGTGAATTTTGACCTGTTGGATTAGGATGTTGGATGGTGGAAGTAACAAGTCTCATTTCATCAGGCACTGAAATACATTTGTATAAATGATGATTATAAAGTGCAAAAAATATAAGATAATTTCGATAGCAGATTTGATTTTCCAAACTAAATTAAGCTTCAACATAAGCTGAATTATTAAATATTGAAATTTAATTTAGAAACGAAATATCTACTGGGGAAAGAGAATTCTAACCTTGATTACTTCCGCGAATCTTTCTAGCACCCAATATTGAATCGATGTTAAACGCTGACGGTCTTGGGATATTTTCTGGATGAATAAAACTGTTCCCAGTACTGGTAGAAGTAGCATAATATGCACTTGCAGTATCAAATGTTGCACCATATGGTTGTTGGAAAAAAGGTATTGATGACAACGGATAGGGAACGGATAAGTAATTGAAATTATTTTGCTGGATGAGAGTCCGTGGTGAGTTAACATTATGAAGCAAATTCCCGCTGTTCAAAAGGATCATTCTTGGATCGAATGGCAAAAATCCTTGTGGATAGAATGGCGGTGGCACAAATTGCGGAAATCTTGGCTCTTGGACAATTAACTGAAAATCGATGAAAGGTGAGAATATCTGCCAAAATAAATTGATGTTAACTTTCTGGAGAAAAAGTTTAATTCTCAAAAGTTTCAAATGTAAGACTGAGCTTGAGCTCAAGAATCCATCAATGGATGCAAAATCATTTCTAATGATTCCAGCATTTCGTTGTCTTACAACTGCATCATCTATTGTTTGACTTCGGATGTCAGAATTCAATAGGAACAATGATGAAGAAACTTTAAACACTGAAATTGTATTAGTATACAACAAATCCATATATAGCTGGACATGGCTTAATGCAATTGCTTCCTTAGTTAAGAAATATAGCGCAAAAATGTTATAAAGTGTAAATAATGGATAAACAAATCACTAAAAACGTTGCAGAAAGATTTAAAAAGATTCAGTCTGAATCTAATATGAATCTGATTTTAGGATTCTAAAATAACGCTTCAAGTCAGCATTACCTGTGGTTGAGGACGTATAGCTGGTACGGGTATAGGACCCTGTGATGGAATGATCTGATTAATCAGAGTTGTTGAAACATTTTCCTTATCAAAATCTACGCTTTCTTGAATCGGATCTGTTTCTTCAATTCGGCTTCGTTTCTCTGTTGGCTCGCCAACGTCGTTGGATGATTCCGCTTTGTTCTTTTCCTCCTCTCTAAATAAAAACGTTTTAATATTGCGAAAAAGGAGCGTATACTTATTTATAGGTTAACAAGTTATTGCAATTTCAACGTGTTGAATTACACGTTTCTCCCTTTATTCTGCTTTATTTACTGCTATTTATAGTTTTTAAAGTTATAACTTTTGAATGGAAAATAATGCACTTTAGATAAGAATATTTTAAAGTGATTTAAAAAAAAAAAAACAATTGATTACTGTTTGCGAAAAAATGCTTCCAAATTTTCTTCTTCCACTTCATATGCCCTCTTTTCTTCAGAATTTTTCAGTTTTACAGACAGCTTATTGAAGCGAATGTGATGAAAGAAGTCGAATTGACCATTTTCTGAAAATGTTTTAGAAATTGCTTTTATAACGGGACAATTACAACCAATTGGTAGTTCGTTAGAAGGAAGTGTATGGATCTTAATCTTAATTATTATTTCTAAAATTCGTATGGATCTTAATCTTAATCTTAATCTCTAAAATCTCTATGGATTTTAATCTTAAAGAATCCTACAAATATCTGTACCAATAATCTTGGGACCACAGTAGACGAAGAGTGGAATTTTCTTCGTTCCAAAAGTGAACATTCTGCGCTCGATTAGTCGGAGTGAAATCAGGACATTTGCAACATCGTAGATGCGTCGGCATCGACCTAATATTTGAATTAAATTTAAATAATTATACAATGAGTAAACTCAATGAATCATTGCAAATTTATGCAATAAACAGTTTCCAGCTAATTTGAAATTTGTTACAAATTAAATCTTTAATTACGGTTTCATTCTTTTTTACCATACATTTTGAGAAATCCTAGAAAAATAAATTTGTAAGAGAAATTTACTTCGATCCGGTGGTTTGCAACCATCAATTTCGGGATCTTTAATTAGTATGGTACTTGCGACGTCCAAACTCACCTTGTAGTCAGGTTGATAATCCTACAAACGATTGGAAAAATCAATGATGATATCATTTGTTAATATGTTGAATAAATGGAAATCAAAAAAACTAAAAGAAGAGTTCTTGATATTAACCATGGCAATCGGTTTCTTTGACTTAATTAAAAATGAATATTGATTCATTTATTCCCTACTCATCCTACTCCTCATCTCCTATTCTTCGAGTGATTACCCGAGGATAACTTCGAGTACAGGTAATTGGGAGAGAGTATTCTTGTAACAAAAAAAAAAACCAACCAATCCGACAATTAAGATCTTGAAAAAATATCGGCACAAATATGTCAACGAATTCAATCCACGTTGACGTTTGTTCTCTTTCTTTTTTGAGCCAGATTTTTTCGATGAACCAGATCCGCTATCATTATTTCCTGAGGAATTTGACTCTTCTGTAGTGGAAAGGCTACTGTCATCATGTATTTGCGATGGTCCAGCTTCATTGGGAGATGCTTAACAATCCAACATTAAAATATCATCAATTTTTAAACATTTTAGAGGAACTTATAAATTATTTGGATAACAATTATTTAGATAGAAGGAAATATAACATTATTATTAAATTAAATTTTATAATTCAAAATTATAAAACAATCGTCCCTCATCACAATTCCTTCACTCTACTCTCAAAAAGAAAAAAAAAAAGAACGAAGACACTTGAGCATATCCCAAACAGAGATTAATAATAGTTACCATTATTAGCATCTTCGTTTCTAGTAGGCACTTCCATAAATCGTGTCATTATATGCTGTGTCATTAAAACTTTTTCATATATGCCTTCTTCGTCTGCTTCTATCTAAAATAAAAATTCCAAAATTAGGAATATTTAGATGCTAGAAAAGATTTTATCGTTCCATTTTTTTTTTGGCTTTGACATTATATACATTTTCAAAAAAAAAATGTCAAGAACTTGAGGAAATCTTTTGTTTCCCTATGAAAGGAAATTCCACTGAAACATATTTTAATTCTTTCATCACTGCTATATCAACCATTCCTTGAAAAGCTGAACTTAACAATGCGACATATTTTTAGGGTAATCACTTTTCAATTAACTTTCTTGAAGTTATTTGTTGTTAGGAAGAAAAAGTCAAATTAAATATACCTTGAGGGCATGAAGAGTAGATGGCAAATTATCCAAGCCCTTCCAAGTATAGAAACTTTTGTGTGATTTTTTCATAGCTCCAAGAGCTTCCATGACGTTTACAACATCATAGATTCGACGCTTCTCAACTTCTGAAGTTAAATTATTTCAATTTAAGTTACTAACATCTAGGGTTATCTTAATATCAAGCAAAGTTCAGATTGTTAGAAAGCTTTATGTGATTTACGTCTTAAGCCAACTAACATTTTTCGATAGGATACAGAGGAAATGTTACATTAATTATGTTAACCCCTTCGAGTTTTACTCCGTCAAACCCGCATTACTTGTTTAATTTTTCCAACTTTTAACATACCCATAGAAGATGCAATTGTTTCAAGATTGATTTTATTGTCTCCGAAAAAAATATATTCGAGCACTTTTAAAAAAAACCTGAAAATTGAACCTTTTTATAACAATATTGCAAAAATTTAAAATTTTTTACTTCAAAAATTTTTGCATAAAGAGAGCTTGAAACTTCTTTCAAAACTAAATTCTTCTTTTCTCTCTTCTTCCTAAACTGTAGTATATGAATTTTGTAAGGAAGAAATTAATGAATGTAATAAGAAAAATTCAAATAAAAAATAAACAAATTATCAGTTTAAATGAAATGAAGCAAATATAAAGTTTATATTTAAGAACGATGGAACAATATTAAAATGTTATAAAGATCTCTGGAATTCAAGGCTATCTTTGAATTACATATGAAAATTGAAGGCGATTAAAATGATTGAAACGAACTTTCGACAAAGAAGCCCTAAAGTTTTCGTCTTCCGCGGGAATCCATTGTTTGGTTCGTCGCGTTTTTGATGTTTCGTAGCATCTTTATTCTGTTGAGCTTTATTTCCATCCGGTTTTTCGCTCAGATTCTTTCCGCTGCATTCAATCTCATCGCCGTTTTTATCCACTTTTTCACCATGATCACTACTTCCAGGAACGTTTCTGTCACATTTCGCATCATTTTCATCCAGTTCTTCACTACCACTTCGATCTTTTATGACATTTGCGTTCCTTTTGATTTCACCTCCGTTCCTATCCGGTTCATCAATATTATCTTGATCCCTAAAGCCGTTTCCATTCCATTTGGTTTCACTTACACCTGCATCCGCATCACTCTGACCCGTCATGGTTTCACCTCCATTTCCATCTGGTTCCAGACCCCTACGAACGTTTCCTTTCCACTTGACCTTACATTCATTCCCGTCCGATCCTTCGTAACCATTTCGTCCTATCAAGCTGTTTACATTTCCATTCGATCCTTCCTCATTACGTTCACCTTTGTGAGCCTTCCCATCCTGTTTAATTTCTCCTCCATTTCCATTCGGTACTCTTTGATCGATCGGGAAGTTTTTGTTCCACTTAATTTCATCCTTAGTTTCCATCCAAATTTTTACCGCTAGTTCCATCTTTTAAAGTCCATCCGAATTCGACTCTGCATCTATTTTCTCTTTCAGCAATCCGTTTACTTAACAAATTCCCATTCCGTTCAATTTTAACCACATCCATGGATCGTTGACGCTCAGCCACAACATTCCGCACTTTCAGAGCTTTCCGTTTACGTGCATCATGGACATGCGGATTCAAATTCCAACCGATAGCTAAAAATAAATTTTTAATTGCTTGCTTTATCTTCTTTCTTTCTCTTCCTAAACTTTTACAATGTGAAAGATCATTTTAAACAACTCTCAATGCCACTTATGGTTTTTGACTTTTGAAATTACGAAATAATAGTAATTTTGCATTAGCATCAATGTCTGAAATGATCTTAAGACATTCCAGGACCACAATAAAGTCAACAACTTAGATAAATAACTTCCGTTCAAATTATCGCAAAACAGAATCGTTTAAAATTTATGGTTAAAATTTATCGATTTACCATATAAAGTCTTACAGGAAATCTCATAGAAGGTATCGGAGTAACAAAAAATTTATCAAACAAAGAATTATACTACCATCTTAGCATACTGAATAACGTTAGTGTCATTCAGAACAGTAAAAGCGGGACAGCTAGACAAGTAAATTGTAAGGAAAAACTTTTCAGGTTAAATTGAATGAAAAGAACTGTAAGGAAAGTATAGATGTATCGATTTATTTTACTACTTAATAGAATCTGAATCCTTATTAGCAAAGTGATTTGTATTTTCCACTAGCTGCTATTTTTAAATCTTTTTGATGCGCTATAAGTTTTATAAACAAATTATGTTTTTTTGAAATATCTAGCTAGTTTTTTTTTCGTTTCATTTATTCATCTTATTTTATGGATTTTAAATTAAGAACTAATTATTAGATGATAATCAATGAACAAACTCGACAAAAGTGGTAGATTTTCATCGGTTGACAATCCGCGCGACCTTGGGCAATAACCAGGGTCCTGTAAAACCGTATGTGATAAGCGATCAGTGTCCAATCATAGGTAATTATCACCAAATAGAAGAACTTTCTACTCAACATTAGTAGATGACGAAGCTAAAACACTTCAATCTTTGTATCAAACATTCATTAATGATCATCCAGTGATTTCTAAAGATTCATATATATATATATATATATATATATATATATATATACCTGATAGACTGAAACAGACTTTGCTCCTTGTACGGAAGATTTTACCATTCGTAACCGGTTAGAGAACTGCATGCTTTCCTCTGAAAAACTTTCTCGAATAAATTGTTCTTGTGAAATAGTGAAAATATCAGTTCAATGAAGTACAATATAGGATATGAATTATGGAAAAAGTGGTCAAATCCGGTTTCCGGTTTCCGTATGTTTTCTGCGAAATTTTCAAAATAATTAAAATCTGAAAACTCATTCCATTTAAAAACATTAAACAACAATTTTCTTCTTTCTTGGCCAAATTATTTGAACAATCACTGAGGTAGATGTTTGATAGAGAAGGTATCCATAATTTCAACTACTTGTTACTCAGAGTACTTTTCCATAGTAGAATTTCAAGACTGAACAATTAAATAGAAAGATGAAGTTTTGAAAACTCAAAAGACCAAATTAATTGAAGATTAAATTATGAAACAACAAGAAATTGTTTTGTTATGCTTTTGGAAGCTCAAATATTAATGCATAAAACTACTTTAAATTTCTATTTTGAAACTAAACTGAAAAATCTACTTGACAGAAATTTCAATCCAGTACATAAATTTTAATTAAAAACAAATGCTAAGAAACCTCTTGAAAGTACTACATTCCTAGTGAATGCTTCACCTTGAGATCGATCATGCATCATCCCATCCTAAAATAAAATCACATGTTGTAAGGCTCTAGTTATTAGTGCATTGATTAGATTATCAGCACTTTCAATACATAATATGATAACAAGGATCTGATAATCTGATATTCAGATATTGTTGTAAAATAAATTGAACAAAAAATATACTTCAGTTGAATTATTCGCTGATAATTGGCAAGTTCCGGAAGTTGAAGGATGTTGATGCATAGGGGAAGTACGATCTGAAAATGTTATTAAATACAATTTCCGGAACTAAAAAAAAAGGAATGAAATGAAATATCATTCCAATAACTTGAAAACATCTTGAATTTAAATTTAATAAAAAATATATTCGCTATCATGACCACCATAAGTAATAAATTAATTCAAATTAAAAAAATATAACCGTGATGTAAAAATTAGCCCAAGGTGAACATTTATTAATTAACCAATTAATCAATCAATTATATTTTCTATAATTTCTTAAGAAGCAAATATTTATCAATTAATGCATTATAATATTTCAAATTTTACCACAGCTAATGTTTGATTTTATCCATCAGTATATAGCACACTACTCTGACAACACTTAGATAATGAAATCAATTTATGATCTTCTACATTCATTATTAACTTTCTTTTTTTCTAGAAAGCATTCGATCACATAATTAACCTCAAATGTATTACTTTGGATCAATTATCACATCGTCTAGTATAGTATACACTTACTTTGGATCAATTACCATATCATCTAATATAGTATACACTTACTTTAGATCAATTATCATATCATCTAGTATAGTATATACTTTGGATCAATTACCATATCATCTAATATAGTATACACTTACTTTGGATCAATTACCATA